ATTATTACGGGTAAAGCAGGCCGCGATAAGGACGCCCTCGCCGCCCCCCACGCCGCCGCCACCATCGCAGCCCCCGACGCCGCCTCCGCCCTCACCCCCGCCCTCGCCGCCTCCCCCGTCGCAGCCGCCCTCCCCACCGCCGCCCTCGTCTCCGCCCTCGCCGCCGCCGCCCTCGCACCCGCCGCCGCTGCCGCCTCCGTCGCCGCCACCCTCGCCGCCGCCGCCCGCCCCGCCGCCGCCCTCGCCCCCGCCGCCGTCCGGCATGCCGCCGCTCTCGCCCTCGCCTCCAGCCGCGCCGCCCCCGTCGCCGCCGCCCTCGCCGCCGCCGCCCTCGTCTCCACCCTCGCCGCCGCCGCCCTCGCCGCCGCCCTCGCCGCCGCCGCCCTCGTCACCGCCCTCGCCGCCCCCGCCCTCGCCGCCCCCCACGCCGCCGCCACCATCGCAGCCCCCGACGCCGCCTCCGCCCTCACCCCCGCCCTCGCCGCCTCCCCCGTTGGAGCCGCCCTCCCCACCGCCGCCCTCGTCTCCGCCCTCGCCGCCGCCGCCCTCCCACCCGCCGCCGCTGCCGCCTCCGTCGCCGCCACCCTCGCCGCCGCCGCCCGCCCCGCCGCCGCCCTCGCCCCCGCCGCCGTCCGGCATGCCGCCGCTCTCGCCCTCGCCTCCAGCCGCGCCGCCCCCGTCGCCGCCGCCCTCGCCGCCGCCGCCCTCGCCGCCACCCTCGCCGCCGCCGCCCTCGTCACCGCCCTCGCCGCCCCCGCCCTCGCCGCCCCCCACGCCGCCGCCACCATCGCAGCCCCCGACGCCGCCTCCGCCCTCACCCCCGCCCTCGCCGCCTCCCCCGTCGCAGCCGCCCTCCCCACCGCCGCCCTCGTCTCCTCCCTCGCCGCCGCCGCCCTCCCACCCGCCGCCGCTGCCGCCTCCGTCGCCGCCACCCTCGCCGCCGCCGCCCGCCCCGCCGCCGCCCTCGCCCCCGCCGCCGTCCGGCATGCCGCCGCTCTCGCCCTCGCCTCCAGCCGCGCCGCCCCCGTCGCCGCCGCCCTCGCCGCCGCCGCCCTCGTCTCCACCCTCGCCGCCGCCGCCCTCGCCGCCACCCTCGCCGCCGCCGCCCTCGTCACCGCCCTCGCCGCCCCCGCCCTCGCCGCCCCCCACGCCGCCGCCACCATCGCAGCCCCCGACGCCGCCTCCGCCCTCACCCCCGCCCTCGCCACCTCCACTGTCGCAGCCGCCCTCCCCACCGCCGCCCGCGTCTCCGCCCTCGCCGCCGCCGCCCTCCCACCCGCCGCCGCTGCCGCCTCCGTCGCCGCCACCCTCGCCGCCGCCGCCCGCCCCGCCGCCGCCCTCGCCTCCGCCGCCGTCCGGCATGCCGCCGCTCTCGCCCTCGCCTCCAGCCGCGCCGCCCCCGTCGCCGCCGCCCTCGCCGCCGCCGCCCTCGTCTCCACCCTCGCCGCCACCACCCTCGCCGCCGCCACCCTCGCCTCCGCCTCCGCTAGCTCCTTCACCGCTGCCCCCGCCTCCGTCACCACCGCCCCCTTCCCCACCACCATCGAAACCATCACCATCACAGCCGTTCTCTCCGCCCCCTTCGTCGCAGCCGCCCTCCCCACCGCCGCCCTCGTCTCCGCCCTCGCCGCCGCCGCCCTCCCACCCGCCGCCGCTGCCGCCTCCGTTGCCGCCACCCTCGCCGCCGCCGCCCGCCCCGCCGCCGCCCTCGCCCCCGCCGCCGTCTGGCATGCCGCCGCTCTCGCCCTCGCCTCCAGCCGCGCCGCCCCCGTCGCCGCCGCCCTCGCCGCCGCCGCCCTCGTCTCCACCCTCGCCGCCGCCGCCCTCGCCGCCACCCTCGCCGCCGCCGCCCTCGTCACCGCCCTCGCCGCCCCCGCCCTCGCCGCCCCCCACGCCGCCGCCACCATCGCAGCCCCCGACGCCGCCTCCGCCCTCACCCCCGCCCTCGCCGCCTCCCCCGTCGCAGCCGCCCTCCCCACCGCCGCCCTCGTCTCCGCCCTCGCCTCCGCCGCCCTCCCGCCCGCCGCTGCTGCCGCCTCCGTCGCCGCCACCCTCGCCGCCGCCGCCCGCCCCGACGCCGCCCTCGGCTCCGCCGCCCTCGTCACCGCCCTCGCCGCCCCCGCCCTCGCCGCCCCCCACGCCGCCGCCACCATCGCAGCCCCCGACGCCGCCTCCGCCCTCACCCCCGCCCTCGACGCCTCCCCCGTCGCAGCCGCCCTCCCCACCACCGCCCTCGTCTCCTCCCTCGCCGCCGCCGCCCTCCCACCCGCCGCCGCTGCCGCCTCCGTCGCCGCCACCCTCGCCGCCGCCGCCCGCCCCGCCGCCGCCCTCGCCCCCGCCGCCGTCCGGGATGCCGCCGCTCTCGCCCTCGCCTCCAGCCGCGCCGCCCCCGTCGCCGCCTCCCTCGCCGCCGCCGCCCTCGTCTCCACCCTCGCCGCCGCCGCCCTCGAGCGATTTCATTCATGAATGTAGGCGAGAGTCAGAGTGCCATGCACGACGAATTTTTTGTTGGGACTATCTCTAAGGCGAAGTGCATGTTAACTCATTTACGCCTAACGCCTATCGCGATGTGCAATATTTCGAATAATATTTGTTTAACTCTTTCGACGAGCGGACAAGCGGAGCTGGACACGCGTTCGGCGAGAGGGCCCCCCGCTGCGGCCTGCGCTCGCCGTACGCCCCCACGCCCCAGACGGCGGGCCCGGGGAGCCCGGTCGATGCCCAGTGCGCAGTGGGGCAGTGGCCAGTGGCAGTGCCAGAGCTCCAGAGCTCGTAAAATCTCACGTACACTCGCACGTTAGTGTAAGCACATATATTGGTGGGGGTAGTTCCTAGTTCGCTAGTCGTGCTCCCGTCCCCATCTCATGTCTCGCCTTTATTTTGTATTGAACGATCACGCGTCCCACCCCTCGCGACCGTCGTTCGCCGCTGCCCCCCGGGCCCCTGCTCCGTCCTCGCCCTCCCAGACGACGACCGCCTCCTCGCGCGGGTGCCGAAGCCACCACCAGTTCTCGCGCGGGTGCGACACCACCCGGAGCCCACGCTCGTGCGCGAAGTCGGCCACAGCGAGCTGCACGTCGGCCCAGCACCAGTCGTCACCGCAGAGCAGTGCGTCGGGGAAGAGGCGCGCGCTCGCCCGCAAGTCTGCGAGCACCGCGGCATAGGTGTGGTCGGCGTCGACATAGATAAGATCGACGGGAGCTCCTAGCCGCGCGATCGCCGCCAGCCCGTCGCCAGTGGGCATGCGCAGCGGGAATACGCGCGTGCGGTGCGGCCACAGGTTGTGTAGGAAGGCCGCGTGCAGCTCGCCGGCCTGGAGGATGGCCATCGCCTGCGCGTCGCAGGTGTACTGCTCACGCAGTGACGGTGTCGCCAAGAGGTGCGGCGCGTCCCACAGGTCCACGGCGAAAACAGCGAGGCGTGGAGCCGCCTCGCAGAGAAGCGTTGTGCACAGTCCGCACCACGAGCCCAGCTCCACCACGCAGCGAGGCTGCCGCTCCTCGAGGAGGCGCCGCAGCATCCGCTCGTTGCCTCGGTGGACCCAGCCGTCGATGAGGTCGAGCGGCGGCGGCGGCGGTGGAGCCTCCGGCCACAGCTGCAGCCGCGCCACCTCGAGACGCCAGGATCGGCAGCGGTGGCCTCCTCTGGTCTTGGAGGAACCGGCGGCATACGCGTCTGAGCTATCGAGA